CCTCCGGCTCACTGTAGCGAGGGAGCACTGTACTACGTCTCCTGAAAGCGAGCTCGACAACATGCCGGCTCCTCCGCCACAGTCGGCCCCGAAGCCGATGGTCCTGCAGAAGTGAGGGGCTCTGCGCGGCGCGGGGTCATGTGCATCAGCAGTTGTCGGGCTGAATCACCCCACTCGCTACGTGCGCCCTGCTGCTTGCCGCACACTTGCTACTTCACGCCCCAGGTGAGACGGTGGCGGCCAACCACGACTCTGAGGTAATCGAGATACCCTCTCATTTTTCAGTGATGGCCTCATCAACTGCTTTGCCCCTTAACAATTACGCACAGGTGTGTTGTGGGTGTGTTGTGATGGCAAATCAAAAAGGTCATCTAAAATTAGATATTCCTGATGTATGTGTGGCATCAGGCTATCAAATTGGCATTGTATGCTTCACAAGATGGGTGAAGTTGAGTGAAATCAAGTGACAATTCCAGGTTTGGCGGCGCACCGTATGCGAGGGGCTTCCACCAGCAGTCCATTGCCATCTCTGTGCTAGGATGCAAGTGCCTGAACAGCAGTAATGGGCTTGTACAGGATCCAGTATCACTCTTGACAGAGGTCCCGAGGCCTACTTGACCAGCCTCAGTTGGTGGGGCCCCACTTATACTGCGTGAGTAAGCGCCCAGTTCAAATTGAAGTGCCGCGGAGCGCCGGGCAACTCAAGCTTGAAAATGTGGCAGTTGAGGGAGTTTTTGTTGTCAGAAAGGGCACAGTGTGTGGGAGTGCACCCCATGCCTGCAGTGAAGCAGAGCAAACAGTGGGCCGCCAAGAGGCCGCCATGACTTGACGTGTGACCAGGTGTGCAGCGCCTGTTGACTTCCAACGCAAACGCTACCTGTGCAAACAGGAGACATCTCTGATCGCACGAGTCATTCATTTGGCAAATGTGTGGTATACGTTTGTGCGATTTGCAACTCGAAAGGGTACTTGCAGATCGCGAGCCTGCCTCAGCCGTTTCTCCGGATTGTCTTTGCAACAATGTTATTGCGGTCATGTTCTAGTTTGCCGTAGCTGTGGGGGAGAGGAGGGAGAAAGGAGTGCCCTCAACAGTCTGGGTGCGGCGTCGCCGACCGGGAACACACACCGCGAGCGCCATGGCGGCGCCGACCAGCCCCCACAGCCTGCCGCCGCGGGCAGGCGACTACGCAGGGCAGCAGCTGGCGCCGCCCCAACAGCAACAGCAGCACCCGCTGCGCGTGGTCTTCGTGATTGAGACCACCTTTGCGGCGGCGGCGATCTGGGCCAGCGCGCGCGAGTGGTGCTTTGAAAACATCCTGCGCCACGTGGAGCGCATTCAAAAGGGCCAGCCCCAGCCGCAGAATGTCCAGATAGCGCTCGTCTCCTTCGGCACGGCGGGCCCATCCTCGCCGTACGCGGTCGAGACGACCAGCTGGACCGCCGACGTGGCGCGCGTTCGCCGCTGGCTGGACCGGCTGCGCTTCACCGGCGGCGGCACCTGCAACGCGGCGCTGCTGGAGGCCCTGGCCGAGGCAGTGTATGCGGCGCGCCAGCCCTACCCCGGCGGCGCGCGGCCGCCGTCGAGCCCCGGCGGCGCGGGCGCGCCGCCTGTAGCGCACACGCACTGCGTCCTCCTGTCCGTCTCACCGCACGGCCGCCAGTTCGTGCGGTGGCCGTTCTCAGAGGAGACCGGCGCCGCGCGCGCCGCGTCGGGCTTCTACCGCCGCCTGTCCGCCGCGATGCCGCCGGCGCACGCCAAGAGCGTCGCCGAGGCCGCCGCCGGCGCCGGCGCCGGCGGGCCGGGCGCGGCCGACCTGCAGGACGTGGCCGCGTCACTCCCCGACCACGGGGTGACGCTGTCCGCGGTGACGTCGCTGCGCATGGCGCCGGTGCTGCAGCTGAAGATCCTGCTGAGCCTGCGGCACGCGCTGCCGGGGCCCGAGCCGCGGGTCTGCTCCATGCCGGCATCCAGCGTGCTGCTGCTGTCCCCAGAGTTCGCGTTAGGCGCCGACGCCCTCAAGCCGATGCTCCTGCAGATCAAGCAGCTGCGCGCCGCCCGCCACAAGCAGCAGCAGGCCGGGGGCGGGCGGCAGGTGTCGGGCGGCAGCTCGGCGAGCGCGGGGTCGGTGCCGGCGGGGCCGTTGACGGTCAACAGCGCGGGTGGCGTCGACACGCCGGCGTCGGCGGCGCCGACTCCGCAGCAGCAGCAGCAGCAGCAGCAGCAGCAGCAGCAGCAGCAGCAGCAGCAGCAGCAGCAAATTCCTGTACAGCAACAGCAGCAGCAGGGGGC